AGGGACGGCGGGCCGTTATGAGGGGAGGCGGGCCGGGGCGGGCCGTGCCGTGGCGGTGAGGGGGGCCGGGCCGGGCCGGGCCGGAGCGGAGCGGAGCGGAGGGGAGGGGAGGGGAGGCGAGGCGTGGCGTTCTGAGAGGCGGCGGGCGGTGCAGAGGGACGGCGAGCTGGGGCGGACATTGCCGCGGCCTTCTCAGGGGAGGCGGGCCAGGGTGGGCCGTTCTGAGGGGCGGCGGGCAGGCCCCGTCTCTGTGAGGGCCGCGATGCTGCCGGCTCCCGCTCGTGCGCGGCGGGCGGGGCCCGCTCTCCCAGCGGTCGGTGGGTCACCGCAGCGGTCCTGCGGGATGGCGCTTCCCCGGGAGCGGAGGGGCCCCGGAGAGCCTCGGACTCGGCGTCCGGGAGGGAGCGGCCCCGGGTCCGTGCGAGCCGCCGGGGGAGCGGCGCTGCCGAGGCCGCTCCTCATCCCCTCAGGGCCGCGGGAGCGAGTCTCGGGCCGGCCGCCTGGTCTCTGCCTCGCACCGCGGCTTGTCGCGCGGCTTTGTGCCGTTAACGATCGGCAGGGTTTCAGGGGTAAATAATCCGTGCTTTTCCCTCAGTATTACTTCTTTAGCAAAGACCTCGCTTACACGTGCTGTATCTGTTCCTTTTTAGACTAGTCGGAAATCCTGCAGGAAAAAGGGTACCGTTTCTCACAAGGGATGAGACCAGCCTTCTTCCATGGACGTGCACAAAGCAAACCTCTGATGGCACTCGCCCTCCGTGATGTGAGTGGACGGTGGCTCTGGGTGGTTAATGATCCGGACACTGCCCCAGAGAGGCTCGGGCTTGTAAAGGTGAGGAATAGGGGTGTTTGTGTGTGCAGCTTCGCTGGAGCCACAGACCACCCAACCGGAGCCTGCCCCCGTTAAACCAATGACTGTACCAACAGCAGAACTTCCTTTTTCATTCCTAAATACCATCTATTGCTCTGTCTTACAGCCTCATTCCAGAAGAAAATATCAGGAGTGGTTTTTTCCAGTTTCTTTCCACCCTTGTGTTTTGTTCTACCTTCTTCATATCCATTTGTTTCTCGCATCCCTTCTTTTCCTCTTACCTAATCTGTGAGTATGAGTAATTTAAGAGTCGGTAAGTAGGTTCAGAGCCTGCTAAAGAAGAGGATGATCTTGGAGTCATTCAGAAGAGATTAAGTTCCTTTTTTTAAAACGGCATACATCTACTTCAGCATGGATGAAAGTAAAATCTTACATATTCGCTGGGAAAGGTACACTCTCTGAGTTACACAAAGGATTAAGCAAATATGTTGATCAGATGAGACATGCAAGCAAAATATTTCAGAATAACACATAAGTATCTTGAGTATACTTCATAAATTAATACTTGGTAATCTAAAGAAGTACTTGAAGTTTTGTATAGTGTCTTCTATCCAGCTATATTTTAAAATATCCCTAAATTAAGAATATATTAGTTTTTTAGAGTACATCTGTGGGAGATGTTAAGGGAATTGGGACTCTGTTCTTGGCAGCTAACTAAACGCAGAAAACTCTGCCTCTTCTCAGTTCTACAAAGATCTAGAAAGTAATTTTTCAGGTAAAATTCTAGGACACTAGACGATAAAATGGTATATGCGTCAGAGATCCAAACAGAACAGCATGAGGCCCTGTCCTGTCTACTTCATACATTTGGCAGTAATCTTGGAACTTATGCCAATAAATAACCAAACCACACTGCAAGGAACTAGAAAACCAAAAGCACTATCCTTGAAACAAATCTCTCTCTGACCCACTCACCCCCGCACAGAAAGAGATCTGAAATTCAGCCACTTAGAGGCACTAGCTTAGAAGCAAGTGCATCTCAGATGATGTGAGAGAACAGATGCTGTACTGCATGACTTTGTGATGTTATATTAAAATGTCTCCACTTAGTATGTAAAATAGAACAGTATGCAGCTACTTTTGCTGCTGTCATTCTTGTTGTCAGCTTTCCTGTCATTTGACTGATTGTGCCCCTTTGTTTTATATAATGCTCTGTAGTTGTTTTGTAATTGTCACAGAGCATATGGAACTCCAGAGTGCTTGACAGCAGTCCATAGTCAAGGAACAGGGTTTCCCAGATCACCGTATGGTTATTTCTTAATTACTGTACTGTCAAAAAGGAAAAGGCCACTTAGTTTGTGTAATCACTCTGTACTGAATCGGCACTCCAATGATTCACGGTTCAGCTACTCATTTCCCTCAGCTGAAGAGGAAAACGAAGTAATTAAACTGTATGTGCATATGTATATGCATACCTACAAACTTGCACATGTATAAACATATTTTAAACATACATTGACTAAGTGACAGAAAGTCCAGGGATATCCAATTTAAAAATACTTGATTTAAAAAACCAGCGAATGACAAGCTTCCTTTGTCTCTTCCTGTTGTGGCCCTTGCACTTACATCCTCAGAGTCACATCCCTCTTGGTGCCCAGGAAGTTTGACCCATACATGTGAACACGTGTGTAGCCGCTCTGGGAGCCCCCCAGCAGTGCTGATGCATGAGAAGTCTTCATGAAAACCCGTGTTGGTTGCAGTGCCTATGGTCCCAGTCTCAGTGGGACCCCAGTGGTCTCATGGAAATAACTTCTGAGATCTAATTTCTGATAACAGATTGGAGATTAGAAGGGGGTTCTTTACTGTGAGGGTAGTGGAGCACTGGAACAGGTTGCCCAGGGAGGTGGTTGAGGCCCCATCCCTGGAGATATTCAAGGAGAGGCTCGACGAGGCCCTGGGCAACCTGGTCTAGTTGGGGGTGTCCCTGCTGACTGCGGGGAGGTCGGACTAGATGACCCTTGGAGGTCCCTTCCGGCCTGGGAAATTCTATGATTCTATGATTCTATGATTCTATGTCATTAATGGAGGCTCTGCCAGAGATGTCTCTCGGCAGGCTGCTTGTACACATGTACTTTGCAGTTTGTGGAACATTCTGTTAACGTGGACCTATTTGTCATTGTACTGAGTCTGCAAAGGTGTTGGTCTCCCAGTTGTTCTCTAGAATGGACAATACTGTGCAGGATTTACTGTGCACGAAGGACTCTTACCAGTGCACGTTACAACCACACTCCAGAACTGTGAGCTGTGATGTGGTCATGTCCTCAACTAGCGGTTACATTGCCCCACTTTCCCATGTATCTGCAGTTTTAACCTGCAAAAACCTTTTTTGCCAGGTGTACTGGTATTTTATGCTGCTGAATCACAGTCACCACCATCAGCTTGGGAACAGATCTTTAATCCATTTTTGCTGTGTGTAGTGAAATCAAAGCAACAGCTTTAAGTGTTTTTTGCCATCTCTCTCCCACTTCCAATTTTCAAATTTGATGTGTTTGTTGAAACAGCAAAGGCATCTCCTTACAAACCATAGGGGGAATTAATTTGGAAACAGTTAAAACTCTTTCTGTGGGCAAGTTATATAGAAGACTCAATCTCAGAGGTCCCTTTCACCACAGTGATTCTGTGAAGACTGAGGTAACTGAAGAATCCTGCTCTCTGCCTACCTGGATCCCTCAAGCACTGTTGTTTGTTTTGTTGTTTTTTCTGAACTATTCTGTTCAGTTTTGCCACAGGAAACTGAAAAGTTTTCCCATTGCAACCCAGAGTTGAAACTATTCCTATATATCTTATCACTTACTTTTTGTTAGGGTCCTGAAATAGAATAGACTATAAGGCATTATTATACAGCTTTTCTTGCTTTTTCTTGTTCCAAGATAGAGACCAAAAGGGTATAAAACAAAGAAATAAACCAGGGACAAAGATGAAATAGCTCAAGAGCAGCTGGAGACAAATTTCAAGTGTTTGGAATCTCCAGAATTTGTTTTCAAACTGATAAACTTCATTCCCTGTAACATTGTCAATCTAATGGTACAACAAAGTCAGTTTTTTCAGGAGACGTCTCTCATTCAGACACCTTCGTTCCCTTCTCAGTTTTGCTCTGAGAGAAACCAATCCCAGCTTGATGCTACCTGGTAGCTGGGTGTTCTTTTGAAGGGTAGAATATTCTCTCTTCCTGCTTGTCCTCTCTTACCTACTCAAGGGAAGAGCAGAGGACACATCACCAGAAAGACAAAGATAACTGTCTCTTCCCTCTGTCCCTAGGGGACTCTGTGTCAGGCCTCTCTCTGCCACCAGACATCAGGATCTGCCTTTCTCTCTGTCTCTTCAGCACCCTTTGAATTCGTTGGGGGGGTCTGATTTCTTATGGTAACCACGAGGTTCCTGCAATGACTCTGCAAATCAGGCCTGTGTTTCTGACCTGACCCGTCTCCAAGGTGCACCCTTTGGAAGAGGGAAGCTCATTTCCCTGTTCTCAATGT